GGCTATTGTGTGCCCTAAACGTAGGCGGACAAATGATTTAACATCGTTACATCGACAGTTTGGTGGATAGGTTGGTTTGCTCCTATCGCTCCTATCTGGGTTATTTAAAGTGTATTGGTACTGGATGTGTCTCCAACTCTCCATTAGCGATTTAAGTTGGTGTTGGTGTGCCATGTTATATAAGTCTTTATTCGCGGTTCGCTAGCCGCTAGTTTAGCGCGTTTATCTGCCTATTTATTCCCGCGTATGCCGGCATGACCTGGAATCCACATTAGTTTTATGTTGGCGCTGTTTTCAGCTAATTTGCTCCGGATGCAAGAAATGATGTTAGATTTATACATAACATTTAAGACCGCTGATATAGTTGAACTGCTATCTGTACAAATAATTGCTTTCAATTTGGAATTTCAAGCGAAAATGATAGCGTTGATCACCGCTGCGGCTTATGCTGTGTAAACGGAGGCGTAGCTTCGCAGGATTCCAACTTTAATTGTTGCTCCTTTGTCGTCGACAACTGCGAATGATGTACTTGTCTCAGTTTTGGATCCGTCCGTGAAGATTAGAGTCCATTCGGGGAGAAGAGAAGTTGTAGACTCAGCAAAGAGTTGTTGATAAATGGCGGGGTTGGTGTGACTTTTGTTGAATTTCTCCAAGCTTAAAATGAACGATGTATATTTTATCTGCCAGGTAGGAAATACTTCTCTCTGCCGTAGTGATGGCACGGTGATTCCAAGCTTTCTGGTGAGTTCTATACACAGTGAAATTGTCGATTTGCGACCGGGGTTAATTTCCCTTTGGAGGTCAGGTCTTACTGTTTCGTAAAGAGTACTGTTGTGACATGTAAAAAGCTTAGGTATAAGTTTCATTAGGTTCAGTTCGAATCTCTCTTCGATTGTGGGTAAGCCGGCTTCCACTCGTTACATTTATTAGAGATGCAGAGTTGATTAAACAATGTTTAGATGATAAATATTTGATAATATTCAGTCGGGCAGCCAGTTGCTTTTTTAAGTACAAACAATGTTCCTTAAAGGTAAGTTTCTTATCAAAAATTACACCTAAGAACTTAAGACTGTTAGTGTTTGAGATAGGGCTGTTATTGTAAATAATTGTAAAGTAATCACATTTGTGCTTGCGACAACTGTGAAAATTTTTGCATTTATTTACAGCCACATTGGCGCCCGAAGATTCGGACCATATATTGAGATCCATAAGAATATTTGTGAAGTCCCGTTTAACAACATTTAAATAATTCAGTTTACTGAAAATCAACACATCATCAGCATAGCAGATATGATCAATATTTATATATTTATTAATTATATGGCTCACTTCATTAAAAGCAGCGATAAAAMGGGATACAGAGAGGGGAGACCCCTGGGGTATTCCGTTATGGAGAGTAAACGGGTCTGACAATGTGTTGTTGACTTTACAGACGAATCTTCGGTTTGTGAGGAATGACTGAATGAGTCTTAGAATATAGCACCCAATGTCCCATTTTTCGAGTTGCCGTAGTACAACGTGGACTCCAACCCGATCAAAGGCCTTTTCGAAGKCAATGCTAAGTGCGGAGAGGTGGTTTCTGTTTGCTAAGGCTGAAGATGCATGATTTTCAAAGAGCAGCCATTTGCTGAGGGCTCATGGAATTTTTGGTTAAGGCATGCCACGAAATACGTCTGGCTATAATTTTTTCGAGTAGTTTTCCCAGRCAATTCAGTAAAGAAATAGGCCTAAAGCCTGAACTTTCTGTAGTGGAGTTGCCAGATTTTGGAATGGGGACAACGACTGCGTGCTTCCAAGCCTGAGGAAACGTACCTTGGCTTAAGATGTTGTTATATATAGCATTAACAATCTTGTCTTCATACATGGGGGTAAGTGTTGCAACATAGGATATGATATTCTGTCAGCCCCGGAGGTTCTCTCACTTAAAGAAGATAGAGTTGATTCGAATTCAATATTATTGATCTTGCAGTCGGTTATGCTAGAAGTTGCAGGGGGACTCTGGGAACTACCGTTGAGGTATTTGTTCTTTTCTGAAAGGAAATTTGAATCGTGTGAATAATTGGACCAGTACTTTGCGAAGTGATTTTCTATTTGCTTGTGGTCAACGATAGGGCCATGTGCGCTATTAATTGAAGTAATATGCGATTGAGGATTAGTGCCAGAAAGTCGTTTAATTTGCTTAAGCACTCCCTTTTGGATTGTTTGACTTTTTTCCTAAAAATCGCATATGCCTTTTTGTATAGCATTAAATTTGATTTTGACCTTGTTCGCTTGTATTCCGTCCAAAGAAATCTTTTTTCGTTTCGTAATTGAGATAGTTCAGAGGACCAGTGGGGCGCGATCTTTTTATGAACTTTGGGATTGGTTTGTGGAATAGACAGATGGGCTGATATGCGAATGATTTTTGTAATTGTGGCAACTTCCCTGCTGATATTCGGAGTGCAAGGACGGTCCGCGCAAAGTCTGGAAGCAGTCGTTCCAAACGTGTCCCAGTTAGCTTTTCCTAYAATAAACCTTGGCTTCTGTGGGCTTTTAGAAGTGAAAGGAGTRGAAAGGGATGTAAGGATAGGGTAATGATCACTGCCATGCAGATGGGAAAGGGTGTTTGTCGTTAATTTGGGTGCAATGTAAGGTCTACAGTGGTGAATGTTTTGTGTGGAAAAGTGTGTTGGTTTGTTATCATTCAGTATAATAAGGTTTTCAGAGAAGACTAAGTCTTCAATCAGACTTGCCCGCAGCAAGGTTAGTTTCCTGAAGGGAAATAAAACTTGGAGCGTATTCTTTAATTAGTATATCCAATTCGTGAAGGTTGTTGTAGTATCCGTGCACCATATCCATATCCACTGTAGGATATTAAACATTCCTGACATGATCAGAGCATCGTTGATGGCTTTGTAATCTGAATTGTTTTGCGTCAGACAGATATTGATAACGGAGGTATCAGTTGTCTCWGTTGAGAATGCAGGTGAACCTGCGTTATATTGATAGGAGTTGGATTGAGAGATAATATTGGCGAGAGTTGATTCGAGGTTTAGTTGTGTGTGTGTGAAAGACTGTGGAACAGGAGTAAAAGAGGAGGCTGAGCTATTGCTGACTTGTTGATTGCTGATGTTTTGAGGTGAGTTTTCCGGTGGTGAGTTGTTGGAAGAAAGATCGTGTGAAGTCGTAATGGGTGATTTGTTGACTAAAGAATTTGTAGGTATATCAAGAGAATTGGAGGTTGACTTAGCGTGACTATTTGACAGCTGTGCTTCTCTGGCAACTACGGCGAAAGAAGTGTTCAATATTGATGGTGGTTGTGCTTTGTAGCGTTTAATTGCTTCTCTCATGGAGCATTTATTTTGACATTTTATTTTTAGTATCTTCTTCGTTTGCACATTTTTTGGGCAAGTGTTGGCAGAGGATGGGTGATCTCCTGAGCAGTTTGCCATATTGTGCGTGTGTAAGGTAAAGAATGAATAGGAAGACTGCAAGAAGCACACACGAGAGGTTTATTGCATCGTTTCGCGGTATGCCCAAGCAGTTGTCAAGATTTGCATCGCATTGGGTTGGGGTAGTAGGATTTTACTTTTGCACTTCTGCAAGATACTTCTACCTTTTCAGGTAACTCAAAAAGATCAAAGGTAAGTAAAACTACACCCGTGGGTTGGGGTAGTRRTACTCCCTCCGTCCGCCTAGTAAATTTGTAAACATCGACTACACCTTTTCTTCTCATCTTTTCTATTATCTCTTTCTCGCTGACATTGTTGAGACAGGGGGCACCTTTCACGCTATTGAGGTTGTCATGGTATTTCGCTTCAATTTCACACACACCCGGAAGTTTTTTGGCTGAAATGAACTTTTGGGCAATTTGGTTATTTCTTACCAGCAGCAGAAGATTACCAGCAAGCAACTCAGAAATTGAGATGATTTCTTTGCTAATAGCTTCTAAGGCTTTGTGGACAGCGAAGCAAGAATATTTCGAAATTGGCTTGTCTGAGTCCATTGCATTAATGAGAATATATTTCGGATTTTCTTTCTTGGCCTGCGGCAGGTCAGGAAAGTTGAGGGGGGMGTAGGTGGGTTTCTTTCTTTTTGGCTGGGATCCAGGGGCAAGCAATGCAAACCTGTTATCCCCAAGGTTGGGCGGCCCGGGAGCCATATTAAACAAATCTTCACTTTTGATGCACTTATCTGCAATACACTTATGGATTGAAAGAATTCAAGAAGATTTCTAAATGTAAACATGTGTACGTATCCGAAAATGTACGATGCACAGAATGTCAACAATACGTAAAGAGCGAAACACGACTTCTCAGAGCGAACACTTGTCGAAAACTGTTAGCACAGGTTATTTTCTAAGTTAAAAATGTAATCTCTGAAGAAATTTTTCAGATCGGTTAGCTATGGCATATAGCTGCCATACAAACTGAATGATCGAAATCAAGTTATTGTATGGAAAACTTTCATATTTGACTTTGAATATAATCTCCAAAAAAATTATTCAGATCGGTAGCATATAGCTTTCATACAAACTGAACGCATAGTTACTAAAATAAATGCACCTGTGGAGAATATATTAGCTTCGGTGCACCCGAAGTTAACGTTTTTTTTATTTTTATTTATTTGTTTTGTGCACTATTTGTTTATATTATTATAAACAATTTGTGTGCACTGATTTTTAATTGGCCATCCCTTTATCCCTGAAATTGATCCTGCAAGTGTAGCTAAAAAATACAAAACTTGATGATTATTCAGTAATATTCCAATTATTGATCGGCACCTCTCTCTTCTTTCTCTTTTCTTTCATTCGAAAATAAAACAGCGCCATATTTTTATCCATTTTCACAAAACCGTTTCAGTTATTTATCCGAAAAGAACTGACAAATTTGACACAGTCACTAAGCGCACTTCACGAAACAAAAGTCACTATTAGAAAGATGAGACTGCTTCCCTAACACCGGCATTAATATCTCAAATTTCATATATAAGATTACTCAAACATCATTTGGGACGGTAACTTAATAATCCTTTTATTGATGTAAATATTTTTGAATGGAAGTGTACTACACTAGGACATTAGTTTTTTATTCTTATCGCTGTTGTATTTTGTTTGTATTCCTCACCATCATCATGTAACTTCTAGAATGAAAATAACAAGTAAACATTTAATAACTGATTAAAAAGTAGTTTAAATCTTACATTATTTTGAATAAAATGGTTGCAAATGGTGCTAATGGATTGTTTCAAAATCTCAGAATTGGTGTTTAAATCTGTAACCTATGATAAAATAAATATGATAAAAAAAATCTTCCATGTAAATGAGTGTGAGTATACATATAGATAAAGATAGAATATGTATGAGTACAATTTCTAAAAACTAGAAATAAATTAAGGATATTCGTAAAATACTTACATTACTTTCGATGTTGTGAATAAGGCCTTGACAGTCTTTAATTTTAATATTGTTCTTTTCCCAATTATTTTCCATCAAAGCGATGCGCAATGTTATATTTTCCATACGTCTCATAAGTTCAGCAATCTGTAACTAGTAGAGTAAATTGAAAATGAGAACATAAATTCTTCAATCATTTTATATCTTAGTAGACCTAAGATAAGATTAACAAGTAAGGAAGGGATAAGTTCGGGTGCAACCGAACATCTTATATTCCTGCAAGAATCAACCCTTTTTTGACTTATAGACATACAATTATAAGAGAAACCTTATATCTTAATTTCAGTTATACAAGTAGATAGCACACGTTGGCAGGTATTTTCGATTAAAAGTCAACTATAGGTATTACGGTATTAGATACCTGGGGGCTTGAATAATTTTGTTGGATTTAAACAGTTTTTGATCATAAGGTAGCAGACACTAAAGACAATATTCGTGAAAAGTTGTATCCCATTATATTAATTGCTTTTTGATTTGTGTACTGGAAACTGATCGAATCAAATGGAATTTAAAATTGTGCTATAGGGGAGGTAGGCGTGGTTGTTGTCCCATTTTCACAATGTGACCTAAGAATGTAAAAGGAATGCCGCGCACTAATTTTGTCGAAATCGGGTGGTCGGACCCTGAGATAGATGATGGGCTTTGAAGGTGGGCTTTGCCACGCCCGTTGTCTCTCATAAAGTTCTCCCATACCATATCGGTGGAAAAATTTAATGCCGCTGGCGTATTCAGATATTGATTTACTTTTAGTAGTTTCTAACAGTAACGTTATATGGGGAGTGAGCGGAGTTATCTTCCGATTTCATACACTTTTGCACTGTCAGTAGGAATTCGTATAAGATTTGGACTCAGCAAATTTGATAGTTACAACTTGAGTCGTTTAGAAGATATGTACATTAAACTTGTTAGAGGGCGGGCCACGCCCGATTTTTCAGAAATTTTTGTCCTAGAATACCCGTTGCTACTTCGATTATCTGTACCAAATTACAGTTTTATATATTCATTTCGTACTTAGTTGTGGCACTTCATATGTTTTCGATTCATGGGATTTATGGGTCCTATTAAGCCAATCTACGAAATTAATGTCTTTCTGTAGTTATTAGTTTCAAAATGACGCCACCTCCAAAGGAAGCACGTGAGTTTAAAAAGAAAAAAGTAAGAAAGCCTAAGTTCGTGTGTAAACTATCATTTCATCCTCTTGCAAAGATCTGGAAAGGTTTGCAACTTATATGAGGTATACGTTTTGCCCGATGTATGTATGTGGCATAATGTCAACTGGAAGATTAAAAATCTTTCTATTAGGTATAGCTACCTAAGAATGATTAATCATATTTAACTCATTTTGACATCCTAGTATATTATAATTAGAGAATTCTCTCCGAATTCCTTTGATCTACATACACGGTGTCTAGTGGCTTGAATAGTTTTGGTCCGATTGGAGAATTTTATTAAATATGTAGATTGAAGTCTTAGAAGGTCAAGCCACGCCTATATTCTCAAAATATTACTGCGATCTCCTGTACCAAATTACATTTATACATCTTAATTTAGTGCTTATTCATGGCACTTTATATATTCATTAATATATATGTTAATTCTTTTTTTGCTATCGCTTTCAAAAACTCGGATTTCAAATCGTCTCTTCACTCTGGCAATTTATATGTAAACTATATAACCCTATATCCAACTCAATTAACTATAGGTGATACAAAATTATCATACTCCGTAACAACATGTTGCAAGAGTATAAAAATTACATTGCATGAAATCAACTGACAAAGTGAAAAAAACGTAGTCTTTTCATCATATAGATTGAACATTTTGGTTTTCGAGTTATATGCTTCCAAGTCCTTCTAATGAAGAATACTAGATTTTTGATAGAATTACTAACTGCTTTAAATCATTCTGTAAGGAAATTTGTCATTTAGGTATAGATAAGTATTATATGAATATATTGGCAATATCTAGATTGCTGTTGAACTTTTATGATTTCACTATCGACATCCTTGTAAGAAAAGGTCAACAATATTCATAAAAGCCTTAGCAACAGCAGCTTCGCTATACGCTTTTGAGCGAGCGACAAATTTGAAAAAAAAAGTTTACAGTCAATTCTCAACTTTGCAATATATGTTAGCACACAGCTCGCGAAAATTGAATTTTATTTATTGGCCGAGATTAATATTTTAAGTAACTGTAAACATTTTTGAGCTGTTTGAGAAGGTGTATTATAGAGATGTGCCGATTGTCAAAATGTTCCTCTCTTTGGAATGGTACATGAGGCAGTCGAAAATAGCAGAATTGAGCATTTTCATTGTTAAATGGGAAAAGTGATCCTAATTTCAATGTTTACAAATGTGCGCTTACAGATTCGAGTATTTACAATGCGCAACCGACTATGGATATCACTTATAGATATTATGAAAGATATGCATATGTATGTATTTGATATCAAAGCACATAGGTATATAAATATGTAAATATGTGCAATTTGACCCTTTTAATGATGAATTCCATTCAATCTATTGAAATGTGTACTAAAGTCATATTTGTATTATTACCTGAATATTTAATTAATATAGGTATGATAACTTATATATTTATGTATGCATTTTTTTCTTTGAGCATTAGAAGTTTTGATAACATCTTATAACCAAGCCGTTGCAGAAATTCACATAGATACAAAACATGCATATGCATATAATTGCGTGTACATCATCAGCCTTC